GCTCAGGTCATGATCTCGCGGTCCGTGAGTTCGAGCCCCGCGTCGGGCTCTGTGCTGACAGCTCAGAGCCTGGGGCCTGCTTTGGACTCTGTGTCCCCCCTCTCTCTCTGCCCCTCCCCTACACACGCTTTGCTTTGCTCTGTATCTCAAAAATAAATGAATGTGAAAACAAATTAAAAAACAAAAACAAAAAAGCCAATCTAATAGATCCTCATAGATTTCTCTGTCCAAAAGACATAGCTTGGACTTAAGGCCAGTGTGCCATTCTCAGGTCAAACCAAAACACCACTTCCTAGATCTGAGACCTTTAAGTGGCTCAGTTGACTTCATTAAGTCCTACTTCACCCATAAAATGGGGATATTAGGACCCACCTCATAGGGAAGTTAGAATAATTAAATGAGATAGAACACATAAAATGCTTTGCATAGTACCGGATACTTAGGGCCAAATAAATGTTAGCTGTTATTATCATCATCATAATCATCCTTCTGGAAGTTTCAGAATGTTTTCCAAACTTTATTCTGCCACCAGGCATAAATGCAGCATCAAGTTTATGAAGGAAACTATCCAAGTGCACATTTCTAGCCAACCCCATCTCACCGTTGATGAATTTATTTATTCAGAGGGGAAAAAAAATACACAAAAGTTCCGATCATTTTAGATGAAGACCTTTTTCCTCTCAACAGTGTTACATAAGCAGCATATGTGTGACATCTTTGAAGTTAATGTTTTTATTGTAAATACAAAAGAACCCCAAATACTGACATTTCCTTTTTCAAAGTCCCACGAATGTATTTTCATAACACACATAAAATATTTACGCTGTTTTATTTCCACCACCAAGATCAATAAGCCATTTAAAAGAACTGGTCAAGGTCAGACATCAGGCTTCCAACTACAGTGGAGGGTTATCAAACCGGCTTAGAAAGAGACGATTCTAGTTCAAATCTCATTCAATATCCTTTGGCCGATCTTTACAGAATAAAGTCTCAGAATAAAGTCTTTTTTTAAAAAAGGTCTTTGTGAGAATACAAGCTGTCCTCTACACTCTGAGAAGCCAGGTGGCTTCACCCTAATTGATCAGCAAGGCTTGGGAGGGCGGCTGAAAAGAACAAAAAGTGCTGTATTTATAAAACTGAGAGGCTACATTGGTCCCAAAGAAGGAGGGGGGTCCCATAGAGAATAAGCTAAAGACTATTAAGTCATGACTAAAAACCATATTAGACGGTGGCCCATCTGATAATTAGAGGGGAGAGTTTCAACGACAGACCTTGAGTGGCCAAAAGTGACCCTATAAAACGAAATCAGTAAGAAAGGAAAAGTCAAAATGTGACAATTGATTTTTCTTTTTTTTAATGTTTATTTATTTTTGAGAGAGAGAGAGAGAGAGAGAGAGAGAGAGACAGAGGGATAGAGTGCAAGTGGGGGAGGGGCAGAGAGCAAGGGAGACACAGAATCTGAAGCAGGTTCCAGGCTCTGAGCTGTGGGCACAGAGCCCAATGTGGGGCTGGAACTCACAAACCGTGAGATCATGACCTGAGCCTAAGACGGACACTTAATCGACTGAGCCACCCAGGCGCCCTGACAACTGATTTTCAAGCAGACTGTAAATGATAATTTACTGACTGTAGGAAATCAGCCAATCAACAGCAAACCACTTAAAATTGAAACTGAGACACACTTCTGAGGATAACTGTGCTTTCTTTTTTGAATAAAATAGATTTGGAGAATCCTGAGAACAGTGATTATCACTAGATAGGCAGGGATGGTATTTCTATGTTTACATATTGTTTTTCTATATGTATTTCCTAAATTTTCTACAATAAAAAATATATATTTTGAGGCTTGGAGAAAAAAAGAGGTAGAAAAAACATATTACTTTTATTTTTAATACCAAGATTTTTCTTAACAAAATGGGTAAGATCAGCCATCCAATTACAGATATAGGTTAATCTAAGATATTGTCTAAGATACAGAAATTTGCCCCATCAGGCTCAACACCTCCATGGGCGAGACTTTATTTTATCGTTCCTTGGAACCCCAATATCTAGCACGAGGCCTAAAAGATTAGCTGCATATATTAAGAAATGTTTAGCAAATGAATTTTGGATGTGGCTGCAAACCCACACTCTGGTGTAACCCGAGGAAGGTACGAAAGACAATGGTCCCCTTATGGGACATATGCCAATCATCCCAATAGGTATATTACTGACATTATAGCTTAATGTCTCTTGCTACTAAAAGCTTCCATGAAGGCCTATGTGCTCCCTCACCTAGCTCCCCTCCTTTTGGCACTGCGTGTGGACTTGAACCATGCTGTTTTGCTGGGGTCTTGTTCTGCAGGAAGCTACAGGGACTACTACCATGATAGAGACCATCTTATAGAGAGGTCCGGTTCACTCCAACACTTTGAAAGAACCCATGGGAAGTTTATCTCAGATCTCAGGGTCATTAAAGTAACTCTCCTCAGAGCAAGTAATACATTTTAATTTTACGATGAGTAGGAATCTTATAATTGATCTTTTATCTTTATGCCGGAAGCTGAGAGCCAAATCTATGGCCATCTTTTAGAAACCCGGGAGGACCTTGGGACGTGCATGTCTGTAAGCTAACCTTTCCTCTGGTTTCCTCTTATTCTTCTTCCCTCCTCCTACATGGCCCTTTCTTGCCTTCTTAACATCTGGGATGAGGCAGGGTATAAACAAATCAAGAAGCCAAAAATTAAATGCACCCCCCCACCCCTAATTTCAAGCTGCTCCAGACATTTTTCACCCATGCATCTTGCCTGCAGGACAAGAGTGTAGAGCTCAACACCACTCTCCTCACTGCTGTTGGCCAGGGGGTGACCTTTATATGCCATCTGTGATCCGAAAATCTGACTGAGGACCAGAGGCACTTTCCTTTCCACTCCCACCCACCAGCTCTAACATACACAAGACCATGCATGTGAATGGTGCACGGTGACGTTAAGGCAGAACAGCATTATGAGTAAGAAACGCAGATTCTGAAACCAGAGGGACCTCAGTGCTAATCCTGCCTGCTCCGCTCTACCGGCTACTGACCTTGGGCAAGTTACTTAACCTCTCTGTGCCTTGCCTTAATTTCCTCGCCTGTGCAATGGGAACAATAATGGCACTGACCCAACAGGGTTGTTGTGAGAAGTAAATGAGTTAATACATGTAAAGTGATTAGATCAGTGCCTGGCACTCAGTACGTGCGTGCCACTACTCTAATGGGACAGTTTTGTTTTCCATTAAGCCAGGCCATGCGATGTCTCAACTCTGATTGAAAGTAGAATGTCTCACTGTAAATGAGTAAACTCACAAACTGATTTCTGTGGTCACCTTGAGTTCGGATCTCATTTAAAAATCAGCGTGGAGTCAAAGCTCTTTCAAACATTTGCTTTCTGATTTGCTGAAGAGAAGGAGAATGCAGCAATGTCCAACAACAAAACAGTTTGTGGGAGTGTATCCCCAACGGTAACAGTGCGATCCTTCCATCAGACCTGAGTATGCCCGACTACTCATGCACACCCTTGCACATCGCAGTCAATGCTTTTCCAGCTGCAGCACAGACATCACTTGAAGGTCTAGAGAAATGAAAAAGCTCATGGACTTCTCAGGACATTCTTTAAAATAAAGTACTTTGTTTGGAGATCAAAGAAGAACAACAAGGCTTTGTTGGATACTTGAGGTCCTGATTTACATCTCATTTTAGAAAGCTGCTACCTCCTACACGTGCTCTTAAAATGCAAACTCCTCATCAGATTCCACTTATGAAGAAACACAGAACCCAGCACTAGCCCCGCCCCATCTTTGCTCACAGCAAAGCCAAAGTCCCAGCAACTTCCTTCACACCCAGCCCACCAAAAAATTTAAGTCCTCGGTGAATGACTGTCACAGATATGAGTTTGTACATAATCTTCAAATAAAATGACTTGAAACTGCCACAGTATGATGGCAAAGAAAGAAAACTAGATAACCATGAAAGGTGTAGTACTTGCAACCAAGGTTACTTCTAAATTTCATGTGAAAGGACACATTTCAGCTCCTGCTACACTGAAGTTACAGGAGACTGGAAGAAACAACCCGAGAGTGTATCAGGGCCATTTATCTTCCATTTCCTACGTTTCCCGTAATTACTCACCAAATGAATGCACGAGTTTGTTACAGTACTGAATTGAAATACGTCAGCCCCTTTCACATTCTCCTTTCTCCATATCACAGAAAATATTCTAAGAATAGAATCAAAAATGAACAGGGACTGTAGGCCAAGAACACTGCTTGGAGGAATTTAGTAATCTCACCCTCTCCAGCTTAAACCCCGCAAATTCATTGGGGGAGAGGAGGCAGAGGACTTGCACAGCACGATAAAGTGACACTCCCGAATTGCAACAGCCGAGATTACTCTGCCGCAGCCTAGATTCTCCTCGCCACGAGCTAGAGTACAGAGTTTTCTAAATGCTTTCCCCAAGATCCCGAGGTCAGTTTCAAAAGCGGCTCCTCTCAAAAGTCCCAAAGGACACTCGCTCACCCACCCCACCCTGCAAGCAGAGCACTTCCCGTTCGCTCTGGCCGGTCAAGAACTCTAATTTGACAGTGACACACACTGAAAAAAAAGAGGAAGTGGCTAAAAGACCATTGCAAGGCATAGATACATATATGTATTTCTTTAAGAGGGACAAGATCCCTGTCTTCCAGTGAAGCTTCAATGGGAAGTAGCCATCACACCCACTAGAAAGTTGCAGCGAATGATAATGTCGCAAAATCGAGGGCGACTCCTCTCTAAAAGAAAAAAAACATTTTTTAATCCTGGAAATCCTCTTGCTGTCCAAAATGCTTCCCTCCCCTCTGCGAACGCAACAAAGCGACCCATCCCGGTGGGTCGGCTCCCGAGAGCGAGGCTCCAGGCCGGGTACGTGCGTGGTCTGCCCTGCCAAGTGGCAGAGGAAGCGCAGGGCACCAAGGCGGCCAGGGGACCCCGCAGGCAGCTCCCTTACCTGGTTTGACCGGTTTGGGTGGCGGCTTCGACATCGCGCTTCCTGGAGCGGCGGAGCCTCGAGACCAAGCACGAAAAGCCAACCGAACGCCCCGCCAGCCGGCACTCCGGGGGCCCCAAAGTTTCTTTTTGTCTGCTGTGCAGCGGTGCGCCTTCAGGGACCTGCGCCCACCCTTGGCCGTCGGACTAGCGAACGCAGTCAGAGCCGCTCGGCGCCGTGCCCCGCCCCGCCCCGCGGCCGCCCGAGCCTCCCGAGCGCGCGGCCGGGCGACGAGGAAGTGGCCGCCGTCTGGCCTCCGAGCGCTAATTGGCTCCCGGGCT